GGGGGGGGGGGGGGGGGGGGGGGAAGGGGTTTTTGAAAACTACAGAGAAGTCTGTATCCAGAATTTGAAAATTTGGGAATTTAAATTCAAATGAGAGAGAGAGAGAGAGACTATGGTGATTGGGTTCATATTTTTAGGATCTAATCCGATGAACATCACTTCTAATCTAAACATTATATTAGATTAGTTTTTTAAAGGGTTAATTGCACAAGAGGTCCCCAAAGTATGAGATTTGTCTTATATTAGTTCCCAATGTTTTAATTATATCATTTTAGTCNAGAGAGAGAGAGAGAGAGAGAGAGACTATGGTGATTGGGTTCATATTTTTAGGATCTAATCCGATGAACATCACTTTTAATCTAAACATTATATTAGATTAGTTTTTTAAAGGGTTAATTGCACAAGAGGTCCCCAAAGTATGAAATTTGTCTTATATTGGTTTCCAATGTTTTAATTACATCATTTTAGTCCTTGAAGTATTGAATATATTTGTATATGGTCCTTCAAACAAACAACGTCCAGATTACTAATAATTTTTTATCATAAACTTGTCACGTAATAGCTAAATATAGAAAAAAAAATAATAATTTTGGCTCTTAAACAAAATTTGAGTAGCTCTTGACAAAAAAATATGTAATATGAGTAACTTTTGACTAAAATTTGAATAACTCATAATCAAAATTATGTAATTTAAGTAAGTATTTAACCAAAATTTGAGTAAAAATTTGGTCAAAAGTTATCCAAATTATTTTTTTGTCCACATTTAACTATCATGTGACAAGTTTATGATAAAAAATCATTATCAATCTGGACACTGTCTGCTTAAGGGATCATATAAAAACATATTAAATATTTTAGGGACCAAAATGATGCAATTGAAACATTAAAAATCAAAATGAGACAAACTTCATATTTTAGAGATCNATAGCTAAATATGGAAAAAAAAAAAAAAAATTTGGCTCTTAAACAAAATTTGAGTAGCTCTCGACAAAAAAATGTGTAATATGAGTAACTTTTGACTAAAATTTGAATAACTCATAATCAAAATTATGTAATTTAAGTAAGTATTTAACCAAAATTTGAGTAAAAATTTGGTCAAAAGTTATCCAAATTATTTTTTTGTCCACATTTAACTATCATGTGACAAGTTTGTGATAAAAAATCATTATCAATCTGGACACTGTCTGCTTAAGGGATCATATAAAAATATATTAAATATTTTAGGGACCAAAATGATGCAATTGAAACATTGGAAATCAAAATGAGACAAACTTCATATTTTAGAGACCTCCGATGCAATTAACCCTTTTTTAAATTAAAATTTTGAATTAAGTCTCAATAATATTTTCTATTTTGTGATAATTTTGTATAATCCACAAAATTTATGATATCTCTGCATTTTTATAGTGAGTCTTACGTCATGCTAACATTATTAAAAAATTATTTATTAATATATTAAATTGATATTTTATAAAAATTTGGGGGTAATCTTGTATCTAAAGAGACGATGTAATATAAATAATTTTGAGAGAGATGTTAGTGACCATTAGATGAATTAATTTGAAATTGTCAAATAGACTTATTGAATCCTTCCTTGTTTTATATTATAGATTAATTATAAAATAATTAATAAATTAAATGTGAAGTAGTTATGAAAAAATTAAAAGTTGTTATATAGACCACATGTTGCAATTCAATTGGCAGATGTCAATTAAATAATTCAAAATTAAAAATAAATAGAATTTGAATGTGGAAAATTTCTTAAGCACTCTCTCTTCTAAATTAATTCTTTTAGTATACAGTACAGATGAGTTTCTCTTCTTCAATGTCTTGTGGTCGGCATAGTTACAATATTTTTTTTGTTTTTTCTAGGGATGTGAACCTACTAACTGCCTATATTAAGGTGATGATTGATAATTAAATTAAACACTTAAAATTGAAGATAATTTGCATTTTTTCAATTAAATATGTGTGATAACAAAAACTCACACCCGCTTAAATTTCAAGCACCTATTTATCACTTAATCACTCAGTGTTGAAAAATGTTGGTCAATAAAAATTTTATAAATTTATCATAATCGACAAGTTTCCTCTTAAATAATTTAATTTCAATCCAATTTACACCAATTTTTCAACATCCACCGCCACCATTGTCGTCACCATTACCCTCATTGCTACCCTATAATCACCACCCCTCTAACGTCGCCAACACTAACCACCATCATCGTTATTATTGTCACCACCGCCACAACCATTATCACTTTGCCGCCGCCACCACCACCACCCACCTTTGCTCCCACCACCACAACTCCATCAAAATTTGCCATCATTTTATTGTTACCACCACCTAATTTTTGCCACCACAATCACCACCATATTTGCCCCTAGGGATGGCAGTGGACCGGGACGGGGTTGAGGAGAGTAGTCTCCACCCTCATACTTATTTTAAAAATATTCGTCCACCCTCGATCCACCACTATTAGCGAGAAAAATTTTAATCCTCATCCCCGCCCTACGGATAAATTTTGATCCGTGTCCACCGCCACCTTCCTTGCCCATAATAATTAACTTTTATGATTTTAAGAAGAAAATTAAAACAAAAAAAAAACATAAAAACCTTACAAATGGATTTCCCAAATGATGAAAACTTATTACATAATAAATAGACCAAACATAAAAACTCACAAAAATTATATATATAACAAATGTGTGTTTCACTTATATATATATTACTAGTTTAGCAAGGCGGGGAGGGGGTGGGACGGAGGAGGGGAAAGGATGAGTTTCAATCCATCCCCGCTTTCATCCCTGCACAAGTTTATACGGGTATTCTTGTATACGTCCACCGTCAAATACATATAGTCCAACTTTGGTCTAAATTGAGCGGGTTTTGGCGAATACCCTTTTTTTCCAGTTCACTGACATCTCTACCACTACCCCCTGCCACCCACTGCTAGTATTGCCACCAAAATTACCATTTGCCACCACCTCCCTCTTTCGCCTCCACCATAACCACCACCACTCTGTCACCCTACTTCATCACTTACCCACCTTCACAATTATTTTTTAGTATGCCCACACACCATTCACCACCCTTACCATTGTCACTAAACAATCAATCACTATAATTAGTGCCACTATTATCCTCCATCATCATTTTTTATCGTTGTCAAATATTTCACTACTATCGCTACCATCACCACTACCACTATCACCAACTTTGCCCTTTTCACTATTACCATAAGTCTGACCATTACTACATTATCTTAACTGTCATGGTGATAACGATGGTCGCATGGAGGTGGTTGGTTATAAGAGTACAGGGTGATTATGGTTAAGTGATAAGGTGGTGATAATGATTTGTGGGGGGTGGTTCTAATGTTAACGATGGTGGATAATGGTGGCGTTAGTAGTAGAGTATATGATAACGGATTGAGGGTAATAGTGTTAAGGAGGCCATGATAACGTCGATGATGGTGGTGGTGGTGGGATAATTAGGGGTGCAACTTTGGTGGGTTGAGAGGTCAATCATAACTCAACCTTAAATATATAATCTTCAATCCTAATTCTAACCATAATCCTACCTCAACCCGAGGTACTTAACTAGAGTATCGCCTGAGTTACTTAATTCAGGCTGATTCCGGATTAAAAATCGGGTTGGGCTTGAATTATTTAATTTGAGTTGATTTTTTTAAGTCTAGATTTGATTTTTTAAATTGTAAATCTAATTTTTTCAAATGATCTGANCTTACCCACCTTCACAATTATTTTTTAGTATGCCCACACACCATTCACCACCCTTACCATTGTCACTAAACAATCAATCACTATAATTAGTGCCACTATTATCCTCCATCATCATTTTTTATCGTTGTCAAATATTTCACTACTATCGCTACCATCACCACTACCACTATCACCAACTTTGCCCTTTTCACTATTACCATAAGTCTGACCATTACTACATTATCTTAACTGTCATGGTGATAACGATGGTCGCATGAAGGTGGTTGGTTATAAGAGTACAGGGTGATTATGGTTAAGTGATAAGGTGGTGATAATGATTTGTGGGGGGTGGTTCTAATGTTAACGATGGTGGATAATGGTGGCGTTAGTAGTAGAGTATATGATAACGGATTGAGGGTAATAGTGTTAAGGAGGCCATGATAACGTCGATGATGGTGGTGGTGGTGGGATAATTAGGGGTGCAACTTTGGTGGGTTGAGAGGTCAATCATAACTCAACCTTAAATATATAATCTTCAATCCTAATTCTAACCATAATCCTACCTCAACCCGAGGTACTTAACCAGAGTATCGCCTGAGTTACTTAATTCAGGCTGATTCCGGATTAAAAATCGGGTTGGGCTTGAATTATTTAATTTGGGTTGATTTTTTTAAGTCTAGATTTGATTTTTTAAATTGTAAATCTAATTTTTTCAAATGATCTGAGATGAAGAGGCAAGGTGCAGATGAAGAGAGATGAAGTGAGAAAGGGAGGAATGAGGAGTGAGAGAGGGATGTAGGAGTGATGGAGGTGTAGAGGAGAAGACTTGAAGTGAAATGAAAGTCTAAACTCTGAAGAGTGAAGATAAATACTAACTCTAGTTAAATATATTTATATATTTATGTATAATCGGGTTCAACTCGATTAATATTCGAGTTGAACCCGACAACTTGAGACTTGCCTAAATTCAATTCGAGTTGAAATTTTTTTGCCCAGACCTAACCCAAGTTTTAAAAATTCTAAATCAATTAAGTGATTGCCGGTGGAAGTGAATTGACATTCATTTGTAATTTATTAGATATCAA